ATGAACTGTAACTGTGGGCAAAGCTGGAGACGGGTTTACGTGACTAAGGACCCACCAGACTCAGCAATGCATCAGGTAGCTCGTTCTTTATTATCTGTAGAAGACATTATAGCCACAGGGTACTGAGTCATCTAAAAATCATGTCTGTTTGGTTTTGGAATGTGTTCTGTTTGGAGTTCTCCCCGCACCACAGAGTTTCTGGTTAGGTGCAGTTTAGACTAAAACCGTCCTATGTTTGCAGTTTTCCAGTATATCTAGTCAATTTAATGGGTGGGCTGGACATATGTCCAAGGAGCACACTTGCCTGTTGAGGGCATGGTTGCCTCTCAAGCTGTCTTCTTTATGTGCCCCCATTGAAGCCTTGTTCCCTGTCATCCTTCTTTGCTGAGAGTTCCATAAGCTTCTATCCTCTACTTCTATCCTCTTCTGAAGCCCCATTAACAGAGGGTCCTATGGCCAGAGGCCCGTAAATGAGATTTTACATTTATAACTGAGTTCATTTCAACAACAGACATTGTATTGGGCATCTGTGTTCCAAGCACTTGGGTGTGTATTTTATTATTTTACCTTCACCGCCGCCTTTGGGTAGGGGTTATCCCTAGTTTTATGATAGGAGTATTGGACCTGGACCGAGTTACTTGACAAAAGTTTCAGAGTTGGTGGTGGAGCTTGAATTTACACCCAGGCTTAATTCATTCTCTTTCAGACTGTTTGCAGGGGTGAAGAAAACAGTGCACTGAACACTCTTAAAAACTAAAGGAGTCAAACTAATCACAGCTGGGCGTGTTAAAGTCTTAGTCTAGGAAACCTGCCTGGTGACCTCTGTAATTGTCACTTTTTATGATTTTTAGGAAATCTGAGGGCTCCACCTTGAGCCACAGGGAGAAGCTGAAAAGGGATTGTTAGATTTCTGGAAGTCTTTCTTACTTTCTTTCCCTGTCCCCAGCCTGCCTGCATTTTCCTCCATGTCCTCACCTTGGCTGCCAGGACTGCCCAGACTTGGCAGTAATTTCTGAGAGGTGGGTTTAAGAGGGTTGTAAATCCTAGGATGACCCGTGATAACCTTCTCTCTGGGCCTTTATGAACTGGGTGAGTAGGCTGGCTCTGAAGAGTGGCCAGGAAGAGCCGTGTCTGAAGACAGGGGGTTAGGCTGGATGGTGGTGTGGGTCCCAGCCTCTTGTTTTTAAGCTACTGTGGTTCTAGGCAATTGGTAACTCTATGCAAACCAATGTATCTGAAACCACAAGAGGGAGCTCTCCTCCTGCTGAACCAAAATGTAACTAAGGAAAGGCTGTATTGATCACATGCCCCTGTATAGATAGTTAGGACCTGCATTGAGCAAAACCAGGACTGATACTCATTTTCATTTGCTACGCTTGGAGTTTAGGCAGCAGAACCAGTTGAACACTCATCTCTTCTTACAAGTTTCAAGGAAATTAAATAAGCTATAAAAATCTGATGGAGATCAAAATTTAAAAAAAGCTTATCAGACAGAGGGCCTCAGATATGTTGCCAAATGGATTTGTTAGTGCTTCACTACCAAGCTATCCCATGCGAGTCCCAAGCAGACCTGGACAACCACAGGCTTCCTCTGTAGGGCAGGCAGCACATCTTATGGCAGAAAAGATGCATGTGTCCCAAAGACAGGCTGCCCAGAAGGCAAGGGCACCAGGAGTGGCTGAGAGCTGCGTGACAATTTCCTTCTTCCTCTCAGGACTTTTGTTTTAAGAGACAGAGTTTCACTCGTTGCCCAGGCTAGAGTGCTGTGGCATGATCATAGCTCTCTGCACCCTCAAACTCCTAGGCTCAAGTGATCTTCCTTCCTCAGCCTTTTGAGTAGCTTGGACTGTAGGAATGCACCATTATGCCTAGCTAATTTTTAAATTTTTTTGTGCAGACAAGGTCTCACTATGTTGCCCAGGCTGGTCTCAAACTCCTGGCCTCAAGTGACCTTCTGCCTTGGCCTTCCAAAACACTAGGATTACGTGCATGAGCTACCATGCCCGGCCCCTCTGAGGACTTTTGAATAAATCACTCCTCACCCCTGCTTCTGTTGGGGAGGAAGGGTGAGGGGGAAGAGGCAGCAAATATTCTCCTATGTGCTTCCCTCCTAGGAGGTACATACTCCCTCTCTTCTATGAATGTGTGCAGTGAGGGATTAATCTTCCCCCTTCCGTATTTTTTTCTGTTAACAAATTGGACCTGACATTTGGTCTTATGATCAGTGGGGTGTTACCGTTGTCCTCAGCAGTTTTAACCTTAGTCCCAGCTTGTGAAGCTATTTTCCAGATACCGGACACTGTTTCTTATGTGTTCTTAGTGACCATTCCCTGGGAGACTGCTTAACTTTAGCTCCTAGGTCACCTAGTTACTGTTAATACTAGGACTGAGGGATGAAACCTACTAAGTGAATCATAGGTAAGACAGTAATAACCCTCACCCAGCCCTGAGTCACATGTTCATCTTGAGGGTATCTGTCTCCTGGGAAGGATTATTGAACTGTAGAAAGATAAAGGTGGACAAGACTTCTTCGAACAAGAAACACTTTTGGGAGACCCAAAACTTGTTGGATTTGGAGCACCTAGTAAGTTCTAAGTGACCCTTGTTTACCTGGACCTTTGTCTATTAGAGCATAGTACTATACTTGTTTATAAGGCCACAGTAGCTGCCGTGACTGGCTAAGATTTTTTTAAAGGGTCTTGTGTGGCAATATAACCTATTCGTGTAGGGTGATCCAGAAGCTCCTATTTCTCCAAACGGCCACAAGACCATGCCTGGTGACTGCTTCTCAGTGTTCCCAGGCTACATACCATGGCTTTGGGGTCAGGCACACCACTGAATAGTATCTTTTCTCTCCCCTGAGTCTGATCCAATTAAGATAGTGTAAGAAACAGGAATCACATAGCTAGAGGTGAAATGCCTACTGATTCAACAAAGAGGTTTCAAACTGCAATAAAACAGACTTGCATACAAATCCCTCCGCCACTGCTGCCATAAACTGTCCTGCCCCAGCTCAGACTGAGCTGAGAAACCTCCCTAGCAGGAGAGGATGCTTACCTCCTGACCTACAGAGAAGAAAACTCTGAGGCCCCAGGAAGCCTGGTTCCTCTCTTCTCAGTCCCACCTCGTGGTCTTCTATAGGAGGAAGACTGAGGCGAGGTGTTGGAGAAAGGTCAGTGTCCCTCATGAGATGCAGAAAATCTCTCTCCTGTATGGAAATAAGAGTGAGGATATACAGTTCCCTTAACGCTAGGATTTATTTTAGAGTATCAAAAAATTAAAGGCTACTGTTTATTTTAAAAATATTTTTGTACCAGAGGACTCCAAATCTCTTTTGGAAATGGGGCTCCATGTTTCATGTTAATATTCTGGGTACCTGGTGTAAGGTCTGGTAATTGTTGCCTGAATGATATTTAGAATATTTTTTTCAAACTTTTAGAAAGAGTAGATCAGTAAAATGAAATGTAAAAAGAATGCGGGGCACTAATAACTTTTTATCTTACTACATAAGGATGTTAAAAAATAGCAACTACTACCTCTAACATCACCATCATTTTGTAAAATATTTTGCATCAAAATAGTAGGAAGAAAAACATGATAGAATAAAGGATGAAGGCAGTTTTGTGGCCACACACACACACACGCACATACACACCACTAAATTGTGCTTATTTTTCTCATTTTGCAGTCATCTAGGAGAAACTTGTCATGGTCTGGACTAGCCTGGCATGGAGAAGTCCCAGATCCTTCTGTGATGCTGCCCAGACTTTAGAGATGCTATAAAGGCTACTTAGTGTGCCTCACTCTTTGCTTGTTGCTTTTTCTGAACAGCGCTCTATCAGAAAAAATTGTCTCGGTCCTGCCAAGGATGAAATGCCCACACCAGTTGGAGCCCCACCAGATCCAGGGGATGGATTTTATTCACATATTTCCGGTTGTTCAGGTGAGAGCTTCTGAGTGGTTTCTTGTCCTCTTAACATCAGAATTCCTGTAATGGGCCTCGCTTGTCCTGCAATTGGTCTCTCTGTCCTGGATCCTGAATGTAATGGGTGTGGTAATGATTTGGTACAGCAGAACATGGTGATGTTCCTTGTCATAATCTTCAGAAGATTGCTGGTCCCCCATATACCCTAGTTTCATGCTGTCACCTGATAAGATCTTTGAATGTTGTCATCTGACTTTGCATTGCCTGTTTGGTAAAGACAGAACTCTATAGCCTGGTATGCTCTGTTCCCTTTTGACCTATTCAGCTTGATTTCATTCCTTGCTTTTTGTTCTTTTTGTTCTGTCACTCTTTGATATTCATTCCAATTTCCCCAGGTTTATTATGCTTCCGCCTGCCACAGTGCGTTTGCATTGCTGGTTCCTTGGGCTGGAATGCTCTTCCATTCTCTCCTTACCTGTTTAATTCATATGGCTTGCTTCAACCCTTCAGATCTCAGCTCCACCAAACCTCTTCAAGAAAGCCTTCCCTCATCCCCTAATCCACAGCATGTTCCTTTGTGGTATGCACTCCTATGGCCACATTCCCTTCCTTCACCAGAATCTTCCTTACTACAGTTTGTAATCATGTATATCCGTGTGTGTGATTGTTTATCTGCTTCTCCCATTAGACTCTAAGCTGCATGAGAGCAAGTCTGTGTGGCTGTCTTGCTTATTGTTTTGTTTCTAGTACCTACCAGAATGTCTTACAGTTTATAGATATTCAGTTCGTGTGGGTAAATGCCTAAAGGGGAGACTTCTCTTTGCCTTCAGCTATTTCCCAAACCCCTATGATTAAGTGGCTCATGCCATACAGCTCCCAACAGCTGGCCCTCCATATTCACAGTTCCACATTTATAAATTCAACGAACCGTGCATCAGAAATGTTTGGGGGTGTTGGGGGGAAACAATAAAAATAACAATACAACAATAGAAAGTAATACAAATTTAGCAAGCTGGAAAAAATATACAAATTTAAAAATACAGTGTAACAACTAGTTACATAACATTTACATTGTATTAGGTATTATAAACTAGAGATGATTTAAACTATGAGGGGGGAATGTGTTTAGTTTGTATGCAAATACTGTGCCATTTTATATCAGGGACTTGAGCACCTGTGGATTAGTATCTACAGCGTCCTGGAACCCATCTGCCACAGATTCCTTGGATCAACTGCGTTCTATGCAGTTCTTCTCTATGGGTTTCCCCTAGGCATCTTAGAAAGAGGAGGAGCAAAGTGACTCAGGTGTGTTGCCCGCTGTGTGAACACTACTTCCCATCTGACCCTAATAGAGTTATTTGAAGCATTTATTTTAATCCCTTACATTTGAGGAAAGTGAGAAATGTAATTTCCTTACATTTGGGAAAAATGAAACTGAGAGAAGGTGATTGATTTGCTTAAGGGCCGAGAGCTAGTGAGTGGTTAAGCAAAGGTTCCAGTCTAAACTCTGTCTCCAAGCCTGTGCTTTTTCCACTCCACCCTTCATGCAGCCTCTGAGAAGGAAGCTACACAGCCCTAGAAGCTACAAGTTTGCTAGTTCTGTGTTAAGATTATGAAATATAGGGGTCAAGACCCTGGAGACCTCCTGAGTTCAAATCTGCCACTTTCTAGCTGTGTGACCTTGGGTAAATAACTTTTCTCTCTGTTAAATTAAAATAAGTAATAGCACCTACCTGATAGGATGAGAATTAAGTTAGTTGTATGTCTGAAGCACTTAGATGAAAGACTGAGCATTTTAGCAAGTGCTCTGTGTTATGTAGTTTCTGTTATTGTTAAGTGTTGAATCTTCCCCTTCGCTAGACTTCAAGTTGAATGCCATGAAATTTATAAATTTGAAGCCAAGACTTTACCTTAAAATTGATTAGTATGTTTGTTAGCCTTTCTGTCTTTCTGATACAAGGGGACACTACCTGATCATTTTTATGAAAATAGGAAGTTGGGGCCCCTTGTTGATTGTTATTGAAACCTCCAACATCGTCAAACTGTGAAGTTGTTATCTTTCCCCCAAAATATGGATCTCTAGAGATTAGACCTTTTTTAACCCTACGCTAGGACTTTGGAGGCAAAACATCTAGTCAGGCTGTGAGAAGAATGGGAAGTGATCTGCAGTCAGCTGGGTGTTTTGAAGGTCTAAATGTTCTCCATTGTGAGTGGAATGCTAGAGGGTTTGTCTGGATGGGAGGGCCCAGTCTAGTGGTTACGATTTCTTAATTTCATGGACTTGTAAAATTTTAAAGCAAAAATGGAGGTTGGCCTAGGGTTGCCACCTGTAGTTTGCCAGGCAAGGACACTTTAAAAAATGACTACAATCTTGCTTTATCATTTCATAAAATAATGGCCATTTAATTCTCAAACTCAGAAAAAAGCAATCCTTCGAATTAAATGCATTTACCAATGATGAAACCTACCATATGCCTGTAGCTTTTGCCTGTTTTTGTTTGTTTGTTTGTCCCCCGTGGGCACCAGTGAAAGAATAATCACAGGCCAGCAGTTGTAAGCCGTTGACCTACTTCTCATGTGATTCTAGAAGCCCATCACCTGTGTTCACACCATTTTAGCAAAGCTGTAGTAACACTGTCTGGATGCCAGCCAAGAAAAAAACAGATCTAATTTCTGGCCCCTGGTGGTTCTAGATCGTATCTTTTTCTCCTGTGTCGGACATGTGACTCCTGTGAAGGTCAATATTTTTCTTGAGTGCGAGGGAACCTGTGGCAGAGATAGGCTGTCCAAGAGTTTCCCTCTCTAGCCTTTCATGCTAGAAACTCCAAAACATCTGTCAGGACTCAACAAGCTTTCCCTTCCTAATGGGATCGTGCTCTCCAGGATCCAGCCAGGCGGTAACTCAGGGTAGATCTGGGCTTAGTGGAAGCAGCTCTGAAAGGGAAGCAGATGTGAAAAGCCAGAAACTGTGTCTCCTAATTCAAAAGAAAGCAGAGCTAAATTGAGTTGAGCAATGAGTCAACTGCCTTAGTTGGCTCTTAGTTGTCCTGGGCCACTTAGTTGTACTGAGATGGGTACAGGTGAGGGGCTACAATCGTTCTGAGTGCTCTTTGATCTTCTCTCTCTGCTTCTGGATTTCAGTCTTTGTCTGAGGTCACCGTTTGGGGGTGAAGTGGTAGAAATATGTGGATGATACTAACAGCAAGGAATATTCCTCATAGAGTTATTTGCTCTGTTCTGAGCAGCTGTTTCCTAAACATGTGCTTACTTGAGTTGGCTGCGCTTTTTGAACAAGCGTCTCTTCCCATCCCTGTGGGAGCATCGTGCAGCACCATGTTATGTGCCATGTGCCTGCTTTCCTACGTAGCTGACCCTCACCAAGTGTGATACGCTGTTGGCGAAACACAGCTGCTATCCAAAAACTGCTTTTGAGATGTAGTAGCTCTCTCTGGAGGGGGAGTGGCACCCCCTCTGTGATGTTCATCAGTAATAAAGGGAATGAATGAAGAACCAGGGAGGAGAAGCAAAGGCTCTTTTTACACTTTACACCTTTACCCTCAAAGTGGCTGGATCTTCTGCAACCTTTAGTGGGGTGGTGTTTTAATGATAATAACTGGAGTTTTCAGTTGGGAGAAGTGAAGAGCAGCTGTTTCTGGATATCAGCCTAACAAAGCTGGGAAACATTTCATAAAACCATTTGTCCAGCCTTCGTTGTAGAATAGTCTCTTGAGTTGTGACTCCCAGCTTTGCAGCTTGCTAGCTATGGATCCATGAGTAAGTTATATAGCCTCCCGGCACTTCAGGTTCTGTGAAACTCAACCAGTACTATCCAAAGTTGTGAGGATTAAGAGAGAATGTTGTGAATGTCAGGATAAACCAGAGCCTTCAGCTGTGTACGCAGTATGCACCATTCTCGAATCTTGAGTATGTTGGACAATTTTTCATCTGTCAAATGGGGAGTTTCACTAGCATTCTCTGTGGTTCTCTCCCTTTCCCTGGTCTGTGGGGTAAGGAGCATAAGAAAAAGATTTATATGAAGATCTGCCAGTAGGACCAGGAAGTTGGGAGATAGCTCTGTTCGTTTTGTGCTTCAGGTATTTACAAATCACTCTACTATTTGTGATTTCATTTACTCCTATGTTAGCTCTGTGAGGTGAAGGGAACTGATATACTTTTACAGAAAGGAAAACTGAGGCTCGAGGATATGAAGTAAGGCTTTAAAGCTCCTGTATGGCTACTCAGTACTAGGTCCCATTGGATCTTAACATCTCAGATGCCCAGCTGGTTGCTTTTCCTATAGGACAGCATGTGTTGATAGCTTCTTATCACCTGATCAGTTCAGCTATGCTGGTTTGAGTTCATGAGTTGTGCCATGTCTGAACTGGCCTTCATGCAGTGGGATTTTGTCCTTAGCAACTCATGTCTTTTCACTTTCTTCCCCAGTGGCTGGTGAAACGAGCTATAGAAACAAAAGAAGAGATGGGTGACTATATCCGCTCCTACTCTGTATCCCAGTTCCAGAAGACTTACAGTCTCCCTGAGGTCAGTATTGGGATTTTCTTGTCCCGCTGAGAACCAGAGTGCACACTTAGAGACTCCCCACCAAGGAGCAAAGTAAGCTCAGGCTCTCCTACATTCCCACCCCGTACTTGGCATCATTAGTGCCTCTTTACATAGCCACTGAGTGCAAAGCTCTGTAATTTTGTCATTTTCTCTGAATTTTAGTGTTTGATCTAGGGCTTTTATTAATTTATAAGAGCAATCGTTGATTTTTGTATAAAGTTTTTTAAGAGGCTGCTTGCCCAGAACATCCCTATATTAACAATTTAATAATAATAATAATAACAACAATCATAGCTAATAGCCATCATGTATTTACTACATGCCAGTCTCAGCACATCTTATGGCTTTTATTCTTTAATCCCTACTGCCTCCTGAGATAGGTGTTTTTATCCCTGTTTTACAGACAGAGAAACTGAGGCTTAGAGGTTAAGTAACTTACCTGAGGTTTCAATACTTAAGAGGATATGAAATGAGAACTCTTGTCTTGAGCACTACTCCTTATGACCCCGTTTTTCTTACTGGCTGTGTAGGGATCTATGTTGGAGCTATCTGCAGGGTTCCTAGCCTTTTCCCATGGAGAATATATTTCAATTTGTTAGAAAATTGGGACTTCTTCAGGCAAAGTAATGATGAGAAATCAATTTATAAGGCAAATTTCTGAGTGGTCTACTTGAGTTTTAATTTTCCCATGGGATTTGTTTAATCTCTCTGTTTTGTCTTGTAGGATGATGACTTCATAAAGAGAAAAGAAAAGGCCATCAAGACAGTTGTGGACCTCTCAGTAAGTTCCCTGGCCATGTTCTTCTGTCAGAGCCCTGCGTAGCCTCAGATAGCCCTTTGATTTAAATCACAAAAGTGCTGCTCCTGAGGTTTCCCTCTGCAGGGATCGCTTAGCAGCTAGACTCAGATGACTGTGTGAGGGAAGCCCTGCCTGCTTCACTGCTCAGGGCCAGGACAGCAGTATACACAGGTAGAACCTGCCACACTACTGCTGTCTCTCCTCACTTCCAGTTTTGAGGAAGAAATAGCCAAACACAGAGCCCTTCCTAGTTTATCCCAGTGGCAGGTGTAAACTTTGAGTAGCTCTGAAGAGCAGGTGATGAATGGGGATGATAACTTGAGGTTTCTGTCCCCCACACCCATGATGACTTTGCATAGACAGACTAGCCTCTGAGCTGTGTGCGGGAAGCTCTGGGATGGCCTTTGTCCCCATTCGCAGTACATCTTAATCACAGTGAGTCTGCACATGTGTGCCCACTTCCCCAACATGAGGGTTAGTGGAACCTTTGACCCTTTACAAAATACTCTGGGCCAGAGCTGTGGAAGCTTGTCAGCTGCACCCTCCACCCCCAATCTTCCTACCTGAGCTGAGGGGAACGAAGCCTAGGTGCCTGTGTGCACAGTCTCTCTCTTCTGAAAATAATGTATCGTGTTGTTTTGCGTGCTTTTTACTTTATCTAAATTATATCATACATCTAGTTGGTTTTCCTAGTTGCATAGATTCTTATATTAATACGCCGCCCAAATGAAATAGCAGATACACTTCTTATGCAGATGGCATGGATTACATACCTTGTGTCATTGTGAAGATTGACATTGTCTGGTGTTTGTGGCTTTGTAAACTGACTACAGAGTTTTTCCAGAAAAAGAATTCCAAGCTGGCTTACCTGAAAAATAAATGTGTGGTCTACCAAGGTGATTACTCTGAAAAGAACAATTGTTTGGTAATGAAGGACATGAAAATCTCCTATGAAACAATAAATCTTGATCACTTTATGATTGTAATTTCTTTTTTTCTCAATTCCATTTTGGAAGTGGGAGGGTTGGAAAATTTTTAAGAAGGTGACACTCAAAAGCCAGATACTGTTTTCAGATTTGGTGGCAGTATTAAACAATAATAAGAAAAAATGATATGACCTCAGAGTAATTTTCTTTCCTGGTTGTGAAACAGGTGTTCAGTTTACAGCATCCTCAGAAGTTTTTTAAAAGATTGATAGATGTAGGAGAATTAAATTAAGGTTGGTTTTCACCTTAATTTCACAACACAGAAGCAACCACTTTTAATTTTTGGACATACTTCTTTTTTTAAACTGAATTGGAATCATACTTTAAAGATAATTTTGCGGTTTTTTCACTTACCAATGTAGGGCCTTTTGTATGCTGTTAAAGATTCCTGCTGGCCAGGCAGTGGCTCATGCTTGTGGCCGGGCACAGTGGCTCATGCCTGTAATCCTAGCACTTTGGAAGACTGAGATGGGTGAATCACGAGGTCAGGAGTTCAAGACTAACCTGGCCAACATGGTGAAACCCCCATCTCTACTAAAAGTACAAAAATTAGCCGGGTGTGGTGGTGCACACCTGTAATCCCAGCTACTTTGGAGGCTGAGGCAGGAGAATTGCTTGAACCCAGAAGGCAGAGGTTGCAGTGAATCAAGATCGTGCCATTGCACTCCAGACTGGGCAACAGAGCAAAACTCCATCTCAAAAAAACAAAAAAAAAAGATTCCTGCTAATGACATTTCTCATGACAAATAGTAACCAAGTAGTTCGATATGATAATTGCTTTCCCCTGTTTTAAATGTTACTTCGTCTCAGGAACGATATGAAAACCAGGTGATAATCATGTTACCTCTGAGGCAGGAAATTGCTAGGCTAGCAGTAGGAGAGAAGGGGAAATTTTCTTTTCCCTATAAACTCTGTACTATTTGAATTTTATTCTAAGTGTGCATTACTTATTCAAAACAGTACATATTAAGGGTTTTCTTAAAAAATTTTTTTTATAACAAAAGCCACATTCAAATGTTAAAAATTTTTAATGCTTGATCAAATATCTTCATGTGTAAATCTCACTCTGAGCCCTGGGCAGAGAATGAGACAATGGTATAGTTTTCAGCCACAGAGCAAAGGCCAGCATAGCTGTCAATCATCCCAATAATGAAACTGGGCCTGGCATCTCTATGCCCATAGATTAGTTAAAACCCCTAGAGGCACATTATTTTTTCTTCTCATTTTTAATGGAGTTTTTTGTTTGTTTGTTTTTAATCCACTTCTGCTTGGTAATGTGATTGCAGAGAATTAGGCAATATGTGATAATGACAAATATTTACGTAGTGCCCAAACATTGTTTTGAGTCCTCACAGCAATCCCATGAAGCAGTAGTTTGTTGTTGTTGCTTTTTAACAAATGAGGAAACTGAAACACAGGTAGGTTATATATAAGTTGCCCAGTGTCACAATGGTGATGGTAGAGGCAGGACTCAAACCCAGGCTTGTAACTGTGCTGCTGTGAGCCCCTAGATAAAATGCTGTTTGCAGCTGATGAGAAAATAGTATCAGAATAAAGGAAAATGAGCCCAGCCTGGTGGCTCATGCCCGTAATCCTAGCACTTTGGGAGGCCGAGGTGGGCAGATCGCTTGAGCCCAGGAGTTCGAGACCAGCCTGGCCAATAAGATGAAACCCCATCTCTACAAAAAAATACTAAAATTAGCCAGGCATGGTGGCATGTACCTGTAGTCTCAGCTCCTCAGGAGGCTGAGGTGGGAGGATCATCTGAGCCTGGGGAGGTTGAGGCTGCAATGAGCTGTGATTGTGCCACTGTACTCCACTCTGGGTGGCAGAGTGAGACCCTGTCTCAAAAAAATAAATAAAAATAAAGGGAAATAGAAAAAAATTGTGATTCCCTGGTTATAATTTGTATTGTTTCGTTTATTTCCTTTTTTTGTGAGTGAACTTGATCTTCAGTTGTTCGGCAGTTTTCAGCAGGAATGATAAAGAGTCTTCGTGGATGGCTAAAGCTCAAGCTCGCCTTTGGGTTTTCCTTTTCTCATCTACTGAGAACAGCCCTCACTTCCAGGAGCTGTCTGCGTAGGTTTCTTAGCTGAGCTCCATCACCATTAACTTCCCTCCCTCTCTTCGGCCACTTCTGCAAGCCCTTCCTTAACTGACTTGAAATGAGAGCCCCAAAAGCTCGCAGAGACTCTAGGGCTGTGGTGCATATCCCTGACCTATTCTTCTGAGTCAGTACAAAAAATTAAATAGCTCAAAATTTTATTTATTGTCATGCTCCTCAAGGAAAATCCCTCCTTTAATAAAGGAAAGGAAATCCTTAATTTTAAGTCATGAATGGAAAATTAAGGAATGAAATAAGGTCAGACACATAGATGGCTAGTTTTTAGACCCAGCCTTTTATAAAATAGGTGTGGAGCTGCTGTGTATTTATTAAGTTCCTACCATGTGCCTAGCATCTCAATAGGCATTTAACAAGCATTAGCTCCTTTATCCCTCATTAACACTCAAGGAGTTATATATTATTATTTCCATTTTACAAATCAGGAAATTGAAGCTCAGCAAGGTTAATAAATTCCCTCTGTAGCTTCAAAGCTAGGAAGAGGGAGCCAGATTTTGATATGACACCTGACTCTAGCAAAGCAGGTGTCGGCACTTCTCCACTTTTCTGGCTTTTCACCTGGTCTCTGCTTTCCCACATATTCCTGGCACCAATTTTGCAGTACTATTGCTGACTTACTTCAGGGCTCTGGGATATTACTTACGTGGGTCCGAGAGACTCAAATGCATGCTGAGTGGTTGGGTCCTCTCCCACCATCTCTTCATTCCCTTATGGGAACATTGACTGTGACTTCTCATTTGAAGACCCTTTGCCCAGCCAAAGAATAGATGTCAGGTGGGGGCTGTCCTGTGGTTATCTTTTTGGTCAGCATGATGCCTTTATGTCTTAACTAACAGGCTTTTACTTATTCTTGCTTACACATAACATAAAAGTATTTAAATTTTAAATCTTTAGCTTATTGTCTTTAGCCATTCTTAGGAGACTGTTTGAATTTTTTGCATTCATCCTTGGTTATATAGCCCATTCATTTTTTTGGTGCATGATTTTTTTTCAAAGTTATTTTTCTTTTGTACTAATACTGTTGTAATAAGAATGAAAAATTAGGAAATGTAGAAAAGCAAAAACTAAATCACCCGTGATATCACCAGCCAGGGATAGCCACTGATATTGCAAGCAGGAAATACAGAGTTGTGAATATCTGTATGAAGAATTAGAGATTGCAAAAAAAAAAAAAAAAAAGGACACTGTACTATGTGTTCTGTTTTGTTCCTTGCTCATTTTGCTCAGTGATATATTGAGGATGTCTTTCCATGCCAATAAAGGTACTTTCATAGCATTTTTAGTGGCTGTAGATTATTCATTGTGTGGAACTAGTTCAGCTACATACTGTTTGTTTCTCTCTCTTTTTTTTTTTTTTTCTCACTTGACCATTACATAGGACATCCTTGTAGCTAAATTTATTCTTTTATCTCTAATTATTAACTTAGGATTTATTCCATGAAGTGGAATTGGTCAAGATTATACCTAAGGCTTTTAGTACTTCTTGCCAGATTGCAAGGCAGAAAGGCTGCTGTGAACTTTAACATCCGAACTTATGATGGGTGCGTTCTTTTTTTGTCTTGGCTTCATTTTTCTTCCTTTGGGAGATTATTGCCAGTACCTGCTTTCTTCTTTGAAGTATATGACTTTCTTCTCCCTATCTCCTTTGCACAGAATAGCTGGTTGCTTTGTAGAAAGCCTGCCCAATAGGAGGTGGTATTTTTCAAAGGACATAAGGAATGGAAACTACCACCTTCCACTTTCACATCATAATCATAATCAGCTCCTCTGTCTCACGCAGTGTGCTGTGACACAGCTTCCTCCTCGGAGCTGTCAGCCCTCCACAGCCGTGAAGTGTCTGTCCTGTACAGTGAGGTCATTTACTCCCTCTTAACCTTGAATAACGGTGCCCACACTGTTTTACCCAGACCCAAAAGATATATTCGTTTACTATTTGGGAGCATTTTTTTTGGTAGTGTAGACTTTTGTATGAGAATAGAGGGAACAAAGAAAAGGCTTCTTAGAGCTTCCAGACTAGTTGGAAGGAAGTGCTCTGTGGAACTTACTGGATCATCTAAGAGACTGCTATTTAAAGTTACCAGTCCAGTGTGTTCTTCCATAGGGAATGCTGTGAGGAAGTCCTTTTCATTCAGCTTGTAAAATATAAATATGGTGACCTAAGTAAAGCAATCTTAGTAATAATACACATCCATATGTATGTGAATATGTATATATCTTAGCCCTTACTGTGTGTCAGGTACTATTAAATATACTGATTAGTTTATTTTTGTAACAACTCTACTTATACCTAATATACAGATGGAAAACCACAGAGGTTAAAGTAACTTGCCTCAAGTCAGAGAGGTATAGTAAGCAATGGAGCAAGCATTAAAACTCTAGCTTGTTTGACTCCATGTATTCATTCAGTAATATTAATTGAACACTTACTGCATGCCAGACCATGTTCTAGGAGCTGAGGCAACAGTAGTGACATTCCAGCTAGCGAGGAGTTTGAGGGCTGATCAAGAAGAACTACCTGACTGCGAGGTGGCAGTAGCATATGTAAACTTTCTTTGGGTGATGCTTTGACAGGTTTGCTTGCAGGGTAGAGGAGTCCCTTACACCATGAGACCATCCAGAAGCTTGGATGCAAGGGCCACATCCAGAGTGGGAGGTGAGGAAAGGAACTCCCCAAGATCACAGAGGAGGCTCACGTGTCTTGGCAATGTTGCTCAGCATCACACAGTGAGTCTGTGGTCAGAGACCTATGAAGAGCCCCAGTGGCTTGAGGTCTACCTAGCCACAGGGTTTATCCTATCTATGGTGAGAAAATACCAACACTTTTGCAGGGTTTGCCAAGTAGGCAGGCGCTAAATGACAAAAAGTCTGATTATTTAGGCTGTGTATAAAACATTTTGATATGTAAAAATTTGAGTTTGTGCTGGTCAGCTTTTGAGCCAATGGGTATCAGTCTTCTGTGAAGAAATAAACAACGCAGGAACCATCTTTAGCTCATTTATATAATATAGCAATCTTATTCTTACCCACCAAGTCATACTGTTCAGTGCAGACTCGAGGAGACCTGAGTTGGGGCTGGTGCTGTACCTCAAAGAGCAGAAGATAAATACTTACATAGCAGAGCTCAGGTAAAAGAGAATGGAAGAACAAGGGTGAGGGGTGTCACTGGAGAAGATTCTACAGAAATGATTGCCATCCTTCTGTCTTTCATCGTTTCTTTCAGTCAATACCCAGGCACTTCATTTTTGTTGTTGTTTTATTAATGTGAGAATTTTGGAGAAACATTTATTTGTCCCATTTATAGTAACTTTTTCTTATGAAATCTTTCAGGACGTTGCACTTGGCAGTGAAAACATCTGTGGGGTCCCTTTACGTGAAAGGCAGAATTACCGACAGGACACATAGGCTAAGTAAGATGGATCTGTTGGAGTTGGGTTTGGGCTGCATGGATGAGCTGTTAAGGTCAGTGGAAAGTATTGCTTCCTGTTGAGTTGGGCGTGGGCTGGCCCACTGGAGGTTTTGAGTGTAGAATGCCATATTGGTGGTGGCTGTTTCGCTGCTTCTTCCATTATTTCAGTAAAAAAGTTGTCTGTGGTAATCGTGAGGGAAGCAATCAGGGATTTGCTGCAGACACTGCCATGGTGCTGTGCCATTCTACCTCCCTTCCCTGTCTTGAGGAATGTGAACTCTGAGTAATTACTCTGACAGGTGAACCTGACTTGTAACCAGATCTGCAAAGTAGAGCTCTGACTCTCACAGGGCAAGAGTTCTCTGCTTTACAAAAGGGTCACCTTCATTTTTTTTAACCCTGTGTGTGTGCCTTTTACCATCTGCAAAAAAATATATATATATATAAATTATATATATATATCAGAACCTAGATAAAGGGTGATGAAAGTAGAGGTATGAGACATTTTGCAAAGTGCTTAAGTGTCTCAGTTCTGGAGTCATCCTGTTTTTATCACTTACTGCCTTTTTCACCATCAGCAAGTTTTTTAACCTCTGTGTGCCTAAGTTTGTCTACAGAAGATAACAAGGATAACTGCACTCATAGATGTGGGGATCAAATGGGCAGCACAGATATAGCAGAATGTGCCTGGCACATACCTACTATTCAATAAGTGGTAACTATTCCTGTTGCTACCACTATTAATGACAGAAGGATAAATTGATTTTATATTCCTTTTTAAGAGCACATCATGTAAAGCATGTTATACTTTTTATTAATCTCAGACTAAATTTTTTATGGAATTATGTTACCAAGTCAGTATCTTTACAGGATTAAAAGGACACAAAGGAAGAGACCCTGGGAGCATCCTTCAAGATCTGTTAGCTTCATTTTGCAGATGCAGAAACTGAGACCCATTGAGGGGAATTGCCTTTCTCAAGGTCATGCAGCTGATTAGTGGCAGAGATAGGACTGGACATCAACATTCCTGACCCCTGTTGCTTTAAAGGATGACTTAGCAATAGCTCTTTATAGTTGGCCTGTGAGGCCCTGACATTTAGGTTGTATTACTTCAGCAGACCATTGTTGTGATCCATGTGGCAGCTTCATATTGTGGAATGAGTCTTGTGAGAGGGCTAGCTGAAATGCCTGGTGGGTGGCTAGAGTGGCAGTCTGGGGCAAGTTAGTGTCAGGGACAAGCCTTGAAATGAGAAACCAGGTTACCTAGGGCCAGGCCTCATAGTGTCCCAGGGATCTTGGACAAATTTTTCAATGTCTGCTTCCTCAATAGTAAAGTGAAGTTAGTGGTATGTGCCCTGTCTCTGCTTCACAGTGTGGTTTATAAAGTGTAAAAGAAAGGTGAGATGTATATGAAGTTTTATACTTTAACATGTAAGGAATAATTCACAAAGCCAACATTGTCATTGTTTGGCAGAATAAAAGGTCCTTTTAGCTGTTGGTGTCAGTATGCTCTTGTTTTGGAGTCAATCCTTTTTTTTTTTTTTTTCCAAAAGAATCCAATTTCTTGCCTTGGGTTATTGACTCTTTCAGTTGTAACTAAGGATAATACTAGTTAAGCTCAAGCTGTAATAGTAGAGCTCAGTGGAAGCCAAACCAGGCGCAGTAACTGACACCATGTAAGTTGATTCTATTTTGCATCTCCCTGTAAGTCTGTTTTATGTTATTTATAGCTTCCTGTTCATGTAGGCACCAGCAGTAAACTGGGGAATATTTGTGGCAGGAATTTTTAAGAACAACTTTAGCATCATCTCAGGCCCTGATCCATTTCCTTTTCCACAAAATTGTTTGAGATTATATAGTATGTGTTACAGAAAGAATGTTTTTCTGTATGCTCGAAACTGTATACTAAAGTAAAATAATAAAGTTAACCAGAATTATCCGTGGGGAACAATTTCAGTTAAAATAAAATGCAGCATCTGGAAAAACCTGGTAGTAGTGCTTTTTGTGGTGATGTCCAGGTAATGATTAGATGCAATAAACCTGGGTAGTAGGGAAGAAGAGAGATGTGGGGGTGAGCAGCCCGAATACCTTGCTGTCATAGCAGCTGCCTACCTGCACCCAGATCTCTGAGCAGATATTACTAGTGTATTATTTGACAGCCAGCTTAGTGGTCAAGAAGTACATTCATTTGGGGTAGAATGGCAAACCACTTCATCTGGGGCTGAAGACCTGCATTTATTGATCATTTACTACATGCCACGTATTTTGTTTAGGATATATATGTGTGCATATATATAATTTTAGAATATACCCCATGGTAGAGGAAGAGCTTACAGTGAGCTGAGATCGTGCCACTGCACTCCAGCCTGAGCGACAGAGAGAAACTCTGTCTCAAAAAAAAAAAAAAAAAAGAGTATACCCCATGGCTGGAGGCATCCGGCAACCAATTCAGGGGGAGAGCCTTCTCACACTCAGTAACTTGGCTGTCTCATCCACTTAGGAAGTGTACAAGCCCCGTCGGAAATACAAACGCCACCAGGGAGCAGAGGAGCTGCTTGATGAAGAATCTCGAATCCATGCTACGCTTTTGGAATATGGCAGGTAATGAGTGGGACCCAGTCTAGGTGTCTCTTTAAAAGAAAAGCTCATTTAAGTTGCTTCATTTGGATTAACTTGACTGGCTTCTACCTGATTAAGTTTCTGCTTTCAGCCGTGAGATTTCCAACATCAGGGACTTTTCTCTGGTAATGAATTACCTGTTTCTGTGGGCATCCTTTGTAATTCCTCTCTGGAAACGTGCACCTGGCTCTGCCCTCCTTTGGGAGTTGGGGTGTTCCAGGAATTTACAGAGGCTGAGGTACTCTGTCCTCCATGCCCCTGCTATTTGTTAAAATCTTCAGGTAAATGAAAGCAATGAAAGCAGTTTCAGTGATTTCACTTTAAGTATTAGAATAATAATTTCAATTTCCTGTGAATATTGTCCTAACTAGGAAAATGAAGAATTTAGAAGTAGTTTTGTCACTTCTTAAAAACATCTCTAGTTAAAAAAAAAAAAAAAATCTTATTTTGTGTCCTTAGTTTTTACTTAAAAAAAATGCAAGGACATGCTTCTCTGCATTGAATTTTTTGGTTGTCACTGGGTGTTAACCTTATTTTATGTCATGCATTCTCTTCTTAGGGTAACTGATTCCTTGATGTGAGTAAGTCTCCTTGTGCTTCCTTTGTGTTGCGAGACGCTCCTGTGTGCTGCTCTGCCTCACAGCCCAACCCTTGTGGGGTGGCTGGAACTAACTGCACTGCCACTGGCATTTCCCTAAGAGCATCTGATGGCTTTGCCTGCCCTCTAGGGTACTGGAGAGAACCAGTGGGAAATTAGGCTTAATTATTCTGGTTTCCTAATGGAAGTGTATGCAATTGCTTGTGGGTTGTTTTTTTTTTTTTCCTTAGAATAAAAACTAGTCTGTTTCAAAGGAAATTGAAGTAGTTCTGGCCCTAGGCTGCGTGTGATGGCTGCCGCCACAGTTCACTAGTTGCTGCTGTGAATTGAATCCCTCCTCCAAGTCAGGCATCACCCGGCCTAGCTATGTAGTAAAAATGCCAAGTAACTTGTTAGCAATTATTAATGATGATTAATTATTAAGAATTTAAAGATAGCAACAACAGCCAAGTGAGGACCCTTCTAAGCATGGGGCACTATGCTAATGGACGGGTTGTGTGCTCAGGAAGCCAGCCCTGGGAATCATGACAGAGTCTCTCTAGCCATGCCCACCTGCAACTGAGCAGGTGAGGCTGCACAGCTCTGGGAGAGCCAAAGCTGGAGAGACAATCTCTGTCGGTGTCACGTGTCCCAGAATGAAGAAGTTCTTGGGAGAATGTAGTGGATTTTGTGAGTTTGTATTATTATGTGTCCATTTTTTCCATCATCATGGAAAATTGGATTTTCCATGAGGATGAAAAGGAGATAGAAATTCAGTAAATTGTCCTCCTCGCTGAGACCATGTTGACAAAATTTCAGAACATATTCTTGTTCTGAAATTCTCAGGTTCAAATGGGATCTTTTGCATATACGTTGTAGATGGTAGCTAGTATCACCATCTGAAGGCTGGGAAAGTTCAGAACCTCCCTGCCTGTCCTCAGGAGTGATTGATGCAGTTTGAGGTGAGAATCTGGCTTGGCTCTCTTTAGAAAAGGAAGCAAGACAGGTTTTGCTTGACTCTTCTCCAACTCTGAGAGTGAGAAAGAGCAGTGCCTTGATACCAATCCTGGTTCCTGTTGGTATGGTCATGCTGACTTCTGCTAATTTCTAAGGCTAGGGTGGGCATTTCCTGAAGGTTTTAGGTTTTTGGGGTTTTCTTGGGTAGGAGAGAGATGTTACTTTGTTTTTTTTTTAGCTTTTTTGGCAAAGAGAAGGTACGTTTGTGGCAGGTAGAGTAGTGGGTACTTAGTACATTCTGATAGTATATTTAGCTCATTCTCCTCTTTGAGACTAATAATGACAGTATTCAGAAAGGTTAAAAAATGACTTGCTTAAGGTCATAAACTAGTAAGAGGCTCAGACTGGTACTTCAACTAAAGTTCCTTGAACTCCAAAAGCATGTCATTTTCATTGTCTGCAAATACTGTTTGAGCCTTCAGTGAGAGTGTATTTTTAGGCTCTGAGTTTTAGAAAGACTGGCCATGTCTGTTCTTAGGTCTGAAACTAAATAAGAAGAGAACAGTTATTAAACCTCACAGAGCAAATCAGATAAAATGTACAGGCCCCAGCAAGTGTGTGTTCTATTCCACCTCCCTGGGAAGGCTTCTCCCTTCCTTTCTGGCAGTCTGTTTCCTCTAGGTTCTGTTCAGCACTCCACTGCATGGAGCTCTTTCCCATTAAATGAGGATTGTATGACTATATATATATAAAATTTTGAGCAGTTTGTTCAATGTAGAAAACACTCCATAAATGTTAACCACTAGCCACTGTCATCATTCTCCTTATTGTAATCATCATTATTAGCAGCAACAGTTTTCAGTTTTCAAATGCCCTCAGATATGACCATTTCCCCTTCCAATTCTCCTTGTGTTTGTGTGTTTGTGTATGAGTGAAGAGGGAGCGTCCCCTTGACCCTCTGAAGGTTCACCGAAAATGAACTGACAAAAGGCAGATTAACAGGAGAAAATGGCACACATAATTTATTATTGCATGGAAGAAAACCACAGAAGTGTGACTACCCAGTAACCCAGTGATGTCCAGATGCATATATATCCTTCTTCACAGGGGAAAGGCAGGTGGGGAAATATGCCAATTTGGGGGGTAGTAAATGATGTTTTGGGAAAATGAATCAGTCGATGGTTAATAAATGACTGTCTAGAAATTGAATGGGACGGGAAACAGACCGTGGTTTGGGTTCTAGGTATGGTATTTAATTTTCAGTCTCTTGCTCTGTGGTAGATAATGAGATTTCAGGGAGTGGATGGAAGACACTTGTGTTTTCTTTAATGGGTCCAGTCTTTATATAGATGAGAGAAAAAACCGTGTTCTAACATTTGACCTTCAAGTGCCTTTAATTCAAGTTATTCAGCATATTAGGGTGCCATATTTGGGGGCAACAGCCCTTGGACTCCTTCACTTATTACCCCTCACGCTAGCCCTCCCTCTAGCACATGTATGGGAAGTCTCACCCTCTGGCCCTTTTCTCCCCAGTCCCTGTCAAACAAGGCTGGCCTCCTGCTGGTCCCAGGACTCAATTTGCTCCATTTTCCCTTTTCCTTTAACACTGTGGCATTCCTGACTTCCTCACCCACCCCCCATTACAGTGTGGCATCACAGCTTTAGGAGTCCAGATCCCCCTGCCAGTGTTTCTGTTTTCTACCTTATCTTACGTCTTGTCAGAGGGAAAGTATTTTGACTTCTAGAGCAAGAAGGTCTGAAATCAGTGTTTCTTCCTTGGGGTTGAAGGTCACTCATCAGCCTTACACGTGTACCACAGTGCCTTTTGGCTTTTAGATCCGCATTCCATCTCCTTCCCCCTATTTTGACTCTCAGTTGCCTAAATAAAGGTGGATTATGAGCCTCCTCAACTATGCTGAAAGCCTTAAGGACTGTTTATATGTTAAAAAGCATGTTTGGGTATATTTTTCTAAGTGTTAATGGTGTTAGGAAAACAAGACTCATAGTTTTGATTTTGAATGTAAACAAAATTGCATACCTGTAATATTTCAATTTTATTATGGATTCAGTCAATTTTGAGAGGCTAACTGAAGCACCTAACCGTGCTATGAAACTGCTACTCTGGGGAAATGCATTTTATGTGCTGTATATTTGACTTAGAAGAGGAGGTTTGGAGCACAGCCTCCAGAATGCTGGAGTTAGCCTGTTCCTCGGTATTCAAGGCCTAACTTTGAGTTGCCTAGAAGGCAACTCATTCTGTAGTTAGTAAATAAAATATGTTGTATCTCTCCCAACCTGTTTGTATCTCCCATGACGATAAGGCCTATGACATGCTCATAAAAGGTATTTAGTAAGTTCTTGTCAAATGAATAAAGAACAGAGTTCACAGTCCTTAGTATTTAGGACTTTTTATGTCCCTATTTTGTTTTGTATTCCAAACAGATAATGTCTTTGTTTGGCCTGAGGTAATTGTTCTTAAAAGTTAGTTTGTTTTCTAGAATTGTGGTGTCCCATATGGTAGCCACTAACTATATGTGGCTATTGAGCAATCGAAATTCAACAAGTGTGGCTCAGAAACAGAATTTTGATTTTAATTAAGTTAAATTTAAGTTTTAAGATTCGGGCTTGATTTGGTTAATGGAAAATGTTTATCTTTGGAATAACTTGGGCATGTGAACCTACTGACCTACTAATTTAAAAATTGTATGCATATCCCTCTTTATATATCTTTTGTACTGTGCTGTTCTAAATGTACATCCTTGATTTAAAGACCAGGTCCTATGTCTAAGGTATGAAGAAGTGAACTGAATGATGGGAGGGGCTCTTTGGTGCCAACAGTGTAGGTAGCAAGAATCGATGAGTCAGAGCCAAAGAAGAGGAATGCAGGAGCAAATTGAAGCATGTGGGACTGCAGATCAGAGCTGGCACTTGGGGGAAATGGGCAGGGCTGACAGGAAAAGAGGAAAGGGAGGCAGTAGTTAATAGGCAGTTAAGGACAGAGCTCTGTCATGGAAACCTCACTACTTTGTGACATAGATGAGGCCTTTAGAAAAATCACATGGACTCTTCATTCATGCAGCAACTATTGATTGAGCGCCTACTATGTGGCAGACACTGAACTGCCAGGCAATGGGGATACTGAAGTGAATGAAACTGTACATGAATATTTATAGTAGCACTGTAAATATATTGCATAATATATTGCACAATTATGAATTTAGCAATTCATAATTGCTAAAAAGTAGAAACAACCCAGATATCTATCAGCTGATGAAACAAAATGTGGCTTACCCATATAATGGGATATTATTCAGCCATAAAATGGAATTAAGTAGTGATTCATGCTTCAACCTGGATGAACTTTGAAAATATTCTCATGAGGCAAAGAAGCCAGACACAAAAGGCCACATATTGCGTGATTTCATTTCTATGAAATCTCCAGAATTGGTAAATCCATAGAGACAGAAGGTAGATCAGTGGTAGACAAGGGCTGGGAATAGGGAAGAATTGGGATTAACTGCCAATAGTAACAGAGTTTCTTTTTGAGGTGATGGAACTTTTCTTGATTTCCATAATGGCGATGATTACACAATGTAGTGAATACACTAAAATCCAGTGAGCAATACACTTTAAAATGGTGAATTTTATATTATATGAATTATAAGTCAGTTTTAAAAATATTTTTTAAAAGTGAATGAAGCAGATTTCTTCCTCTCCAGAAGCTCAACAGAAAGGCTTAGAGGATTACTCATGACCGATAATTATGTTCACCATACAATGAGTGCACTGGCTCTCGCAGAAGCTCACATCTGGGGGGCTAACGTAGTTTTGGTTACTTAGAAGAGTCTTCCCAGAGCCTCTCTCTTTAAGGAGGAGCAGATTTGTCCTGGGAATCAAGTCACTCAGATTTGGTTGTTTACTTCCTTATTTGGAAAATCTGTGAAGTCCCTGGGCCTTAGATAAGGACCTTATGTCTTCTGCCCTAAAAGTCTCCACAGACTAAAGGCATAAAAAAGGAAGGATGAATACTCAAGATGCAAGGACACTTCTATAGGAGTGGGAAACTTGGGCAAGACCTTGTATTATTCAGGGTTCCCTGGTTGAGAAAACAGTACTCTCCCACTAGTTTCAGCAGAAGGGATTGGTTACAGGGCCAGATGAGAACTAGGCTGATCCAGGGTCAGCTCTCAAGCTTCACATTAGAACTGGAGCTCCAGGACGCTGCTGCTGCCTCCAAAATCAGGAAGCTAGCTCACACCCTGTAGGATTAGGAAGCTGGTGCTATAGCGGTTTGACAAGGGAGGAAACCATGCTGCTTCTGTCAAATTAGGGAGCTCTGAAAAACCAAGAAGCCACTGTGATAGCTGCTAGCCCCAGAACCTGGTTGTTTCTACTGTGATCCACACCAACACAATGGATCCCTTATGCTTCCCTCTTTCCTCCTTTAACTGTTCCATATTCAAAACTCTAGCAAATACATCTGATTGGTGGAACCTTAATAGTATTCAGAACCCTAGGTGCAAGGGAGTATGGAAAATAGTCTCTTTTCCAGCCTCTGCAGTACTGGAAGATGCACTGGATATTAAGCCAGTCCACGGAATCTGCCATAAGGTCTTTTACAGAATTCATGTGGATAGCCAGAATTTAACCTTGGTCTGCTACACTTTGGACCTATAGGTTTATTTCTAAAGGGTGGGCACACTGCCCAGCAGTGAGTTTTTGGTCTCCCCAGTTATATGACAATCTGTTGCAAGGCCAGATGATAGTTTTGGCCTCTTGATTTTCACGTTTTTTTCACTTATGTTTAGTTTGTTCAGCGAATATTGGAAAAACCAAATGTGAAGGTAGAATCTTTGCCCTCAGGAGAATGATACAGATATGTAGCAGTTGCACATAATCACCATCTGGGAAGTGAGAGGAGCATGAACAGATGCAGGGATGGGCAGGCCAGGCTGAGCACATGTGCATGGGGGATGCTTCACAGGGGAGGAGGCTTTAGAGCTGAGGGGTGAAGGCTGAATAGGGAAGCCGGGGAGAGAAGGGAACAGCTTAGTGTGTGCAGGGCTCTCTGTTCAGGTAGTAAGTGTAATAGGAACACAGAAGGTGCTGCTGGTGGTGAGGTGAAACAGTTGTTAGGCGGAGCCATGGAAGAGAGGCTTTACGAGGCTCCTTGAGGAGGTTCTGTTTTCTCCTGAGGGAAGAGGCCTGCCATTGATAAATGTACATCAGGCCAATGCAGAAGTTGGACAAGGAATGGGCAGGAAGAGTGTGGGGAGTGAAGCTGGAGGACCAAGACCAGGTGAGCACACAACCAGAAGTGAGGCATGCAGAAGAGAGGCAGAGAGTAGCCTTTAGTTTGTTCTTTATTTTTATTTATTTGTTTTTGAGACAGAGTCTTGCTCTGTCACCCAGGCTGGAGTCTGGTGGTGTGATCTCGGCTCACTGCAACCTCCGCCTCGTGGGTTTGAGCAATTCTGGTGCTTCAGCCTCCCGAGTAGCTGGGATGACAGGCATGTGCCACTATGCCTGGCTAGTTTTTGTATTTTCAGTAGAGATAGAGTTTTACCATGTTGGCCAGTCTGGTCTCGAATTCCTGAGGTCAGGTGATAGGCCAGCCTCAGCTTCCCAAAGTGCTGGGATTACAGGTGTGAGCAACCACGCCAAGCTCAATTTGTTCTCCTTAAATGTTTGTATTAACTTTATTTTCTTACAAATCACTTAAAGGTGTATGAGGCTGGGTGGTTTGCATTTTGCTTTTTGTTGGGGATTGAATGGTTTTTGCATTGTTATTCTTGCATTTTAAAAAAACATAGATTAATTAGAGCCAGAAAATAAACTACTTGAAACTGAATTGGGTTTGTGTGTTTCTTTGAATTTAAGGTTGTGTGAAGTGAGTACACATTACTGGCATCATGCTTGGATTATGTTTGAGAATAAAAAGTGTGCTAGACTCTAAGTTACAGAAGTAGCCATTAAAGCGCATGTTTGGCTTAAGGAAGCACATTTACATTTGTTTATATAGATATTTTTAAGGCTTTTAGCTTAACCTGTGGCTCTTAAATGCAGTTCCTGATTCAAAAAGTCATGATTGCACTTAAGGAAAATGTTGCACTCTATACTGTCTGAGAGTTCCAATTTACATTATAGTATTTGCATAGCAAGTAGGGTGGCTGGCCTTGTATTCAAAAGACAGTGAAATATGTTTGTAATTTAGGCACTTGTAACATTTTCTCTAGTCACCAAATGGCATAAATTCTCTTGATGCTTTTCATGTAAAAAGTCAACCAAAATGCATTTGACTGAATTTATTGTAATTTTTTGAGTAGTAATTAAACTCCTTTTTTGTGGTCTTCAGGAGATACGGATTTAGCCGCCAGAGCGAAACGGAGAAGGTAAGAAAAACATTGATAATAGGAGAGAATATTTGAGAGATGGAAGTGACTCCCTTCACCTCTAACACTCACAGGATGGGCAGCTTCCTGGGAAGCCCAGGAAGGGGATGTGGCAGGGCTGCTGCTGCCCAGGCCCTGATCCCCGGAGAGGCTGGGGTAGCAGGGATGTGTGAGCTGCCTTGGGCCCCTGCATCTCCGTCGTGGCTTTTCTAGCTTGCCACCTCTGCAGATTGGGGAGCAAAGCAGCAGTCTCATCCTGGGGCTGGAAATGAGGGGCGATTGAAAGTTGTGGCCCAGGGTCAGTCACCTGGGGTCTAGTAGCTCTACACTATGAAGATGAAGTCCACTGCCAGGGCTCCCAGAGCACTCCTCATCTGAGGTGAGAGACTCTGGACAGATGTGAACAGGATGTTAGGTAGAGCACAGCTGTGAATTACAGGCCTGCCCTCTGCTGAAACAGCTAGTCATGGAAGAGCCAGGTAAGTCAGGATGGCTTTTCTAACTTCACAAAGATGCCCAAAGATTTCTGTTAATTTATGTGTTTATTAATGATGCTTCATTGTCAGCAGCAGGGCCGGTACATAAATGTTACGTTGCTATACCCTTTCTGTGTTCCAGGCTCTATGTTAAGGACTCTGTATGTTTTCACTTACTCCCTTGAACAGCTCTATGAGGAGGATACTTATTTCTGCTTTTTAGGTCAGAAAGCGAATGCTCAGAGAGGCTCAGTGATTTGTCCAAGGTCACATAACTCTAAAGTGAATAAATAAGAATCCGAACCCAGAGATCTGACATCAAACCTGAGCTCATAGCCACTGCTTTCTGAATAAGAAAGTGTCAGCTAAAGTGGTCAGTGGCCTCTTAAAAAGATCTGTTATTAACCTCTTTTCATTCTCCACCTGATCCCCAGATTTCTTGAACAGGACACACTCCCCCTGCTATTCCCCTGTCACCCACTCCACTGTACAGCTCCCCCAGGCTCCCCCTCTGCTTCCTGTGGTGACTGTTGTCTCAGTCACTGCAGGCACCAGCAGTGGCTAAGAGCACCGTTCTAAAGCCAGACTGGCTGACTTAGGACCCCAGCTCCTCCATTCACGGAGTGACTTTGGATAATAATCATTGTACCTATCTCACAGCATTACTGTGAAGATTGAAATGTAAAGGACTTAGAATGAGCCAACACATAGTAAACATTTAATAAACATTAACTATTATTATTATCAGTGTTAGTTATTGGTACTTAGTCATGTACTGATAATGATATCTTCTTTTTTCGTTTTCTCATTATTTATTTTTTCCCCATTTGTGTTTTTTTACCCAACTGAGTAATGATTTCCTGCAAAGCAGCATGTTTTCTGGATTTCAGTATATCATGTTTTATCTGGTGTATAATAAGGGTTTGATGTGTATATTTAATTTGATATGTAATTTAAGTCTGAAAAGATTGTCTTTGTATATGACTGGGCGATTTGGTTATGATTGGAAAAATCATGAAATGTCCCTGAAATAGGATTCAAATTGTGCTTGTCCTGTCATTTTTATGTCAGACGGCACATTTGAATTAGAAGTCTCATCCCCTGTAGATGTGTCCAAGCAGTTAGGAGCTCAGAGTGTTCCCATGGGCAGTGATAGACTCGTTATAGAAAAGCATCCTAGAGTTGGGATGGTCCAAGAAGGGCATTTGAGACCACACCTCTCTTTTGACCCTAGAAGTCCTTAACATGCAGAGATCAGAGGTAAGCCTGAGGTCACCCAGCTGGTGAATGGCAGAGATAGAATTAAAACCTATAGCCTGTAATTGAGGAGGCAGCACTTAATCCAGCCTTGAGTTTGATGTGCTTCATTTAAGGCCTGGGGCTGAGTCCAGAGCATGCTGCTTGATCATTAGATAAGGCAGTTCTCATCCTTCAGACCAGTGATATTCAAACTGTTTTGATTACTCTGAGCAGTAAACGTGTAATTTTTCATCATGATTCAGTACACACACACGAATACCACCAAAACAAAAATTTCACTAAGCAGTACTTAACCCCTCACTACAAAGCACTCTGGCATGTTCCATTATGTTAATTTATACAGATGCTAGTCGTACCTGCCAAATTACTTTTATGTCCCACTAATTGGTCTTAACAGGCAGTTTGAAGAAACACTCCTTTAGTAGTGATCTGTGCTTGAAAGTGTTAAAGGATGGGGAAGGCCAAGTCAAAGTGGAAGAGCAGGTCAGGCAAATGTGTGTGGCCTGAATTTAATCAGTGAGCAGTTGGGACATGGAAACAGGCATTTACCAGTTCCTGAAGCTTAACCTGCCCGCCCTGTACTTGAGTGGAGGTTCAGGCCTTTGGAGTATCCACTCTATCAGGGTGGTGCTGCTCTGCAGGTTTGTTTCTTTCACAGACTCATGCCTCTTGGCAATATTGTCCTTTCTCTGCTAAGTCTCCAACTCTCGTGCTCAGCTGTTTTCACATCTTCCCTTGCAGGCTGAGGACAAGAAAACGGCGCTTGCAGCAGGGCTGTCAGCTACAGAAAAAGCTGATGCCCACGAGGAAGATGAGCTTCGAGCAGCTGAAGAGGTGTGTGGTCCATGTAGGCCCTCTGAGGTTTCTGTGTAAGTCATTTTGGGAGAAATTGTACTCTTATCCCTAGCGTTCCCAAATGGCCAGCACCTCCCACAGCCAGCTGCTGCGAGCAGGCCTTTCACACCTTCCAGTTTCCTTTTATCACCTGCCTTTGAGGCTCACATAAGACGAGATCAAGGAAGACACCCTTGGATATCACCACAAAGATCCGTGTAGGCATATTGCTTCTGTCTTACATGTTCAGAACCGCTCACTGCTGCTCCCATCCATCCTTCTTTCAGCAGCGTATTCAGTCGCTGATGACCAAGATGACCGCCATGGCAAATGAGGAGGTGAGTGGGAGTCGGGGAGGTGTGGGGATGGGGACTTGGCACCAGCCTGCTCTGCTGGGGTCTTCTCCCAGAGACCCCACCTTCTCCAGAACCCCCTGTCACCATCACACAGTACCTCCTCCCCGGGGAGTTCCTTTTGGTAATCTGTTTTTAATGTCTTGTGTGTCATCCATGGGAACCTCTAGGAGGGAGACTTGAAGGACCCTTGTGAAAGCAGAATATTCCTGCTGGGAGGTTCACAGGGCCCCTGTGGAAGAGCTGGAGCTGGCCCGCGAGTTATGCCTCATGCTGAGGCAGCTCTTGTCTTCTGCTTTCTTCCTCCACTGTCTAGGTAGGAAGCAGGATTTTGAGATTATAGTTGGTCTTTCCAGAGCCTGTCCAGAAGGTATAGCCAAGTGTGAAAGAACCATTCTTTTTTTTTTTTTTTTTTGAGACGGAGTCTTGCTCTGTTGGCCAGGCTGGAGTGCAGTGGCACGATCTCGGCCTACTGCCAGCTCTGCCTCCCAGGTTCATGCCATTCTCCTGCCTCAGCCTCCCGAGTAGCTGGGACTACAGGCACCCACCACCCCTCCCGGCTAATTTTTTGTATTTGTATGTGAAACATGGGGTTTCACCGTGTTAGCCAGGATGGTCTCAATCTCCTGACCTTGTGATCCACCCACCTCGGCCTCCCAAAGTGCTGGGATTACAGGCGTGAGCCGCCGCGCCTTGCCTGAAAGGATCATTATTTTTGAGGCCTGGGAAGACCTGTGGTAATAAAGAGATATTTTAAAGTTCTGAGATTCTTTGTCCTTTCCCATGCTCTTCTCTATTCCCTATGTCCTAAGCCTGCCAAATCCCCTGCAGGCTGTTTGGTGGCCCTCAGGAGGTGAGACCTTGGGGTGGGACATAGGAGGGAAGAACCATTTTCCAGGGGTGCCCAGGGTCAGAGGAGGATCTAGCACCGTCTGCTCAGTGATTCAGGAGGTAGCTGCGTGTTTGTCCTGAGGCTGCTTTCCTCCCTTCCTGGTGGTAATATGTGGCAAAGCCAAATTATTTTTTCCCCTAGGAATATTATCCGTTTTACCATAATAGAGTGTTCAGATTTTCCACTGCTGTGGAAGACAAGGCTTGGCCTTGAGAACATTCCCTCCATGTGCTTGCAGAGCCGTCTCACCGCAAGCTCCGTGGGCCAGATCGTGGGACTCTGCTCTGCCGAGATCAAGCAGATTGTGTCCGAGTATGCGGAGAAGGTAGGTTGGGGCCCAGCTGGAGTCTGTGCCCCAGATAATGCTCCATGGCTTTGTTCTCCCACTTCCCTACCCAACTGCCCCAGCAGTGCCCTGTGTTCTCTTGTAACTCACCAGCCACGTTTGTCAGAAACGCACTGGGCTTTACCATGCACAACCGGTTATCAGCAGTTACCCATTAGTTCAATTAATTTTGTTCTGCAGTGCCCACTTTTCTGTAAATTTAAAGAGAAAACCTGTCTCACAGAGCAGTTATCACATTTGATAAATTCATGCCTGAGGGTATGGGATGAACATTTTTTCTTCTCTATCAGGCCTCTTATAACTTGAGCTCAGTTTGATGATTTGGCTGAGGAATGAAGCTTTGCCTCTTAGGAGATAAACCCCATAACTCAGCCAAATCCAAGGCAAAATTTTTTCTTCTACTTTTATTAAAAGAATATAGAATGAAGAAAAGCCTGAAATCATATTTCAGAGTTTCCTTTTTTTTTTTCCATCCTAAGAAAAGGCAGGAGGACCTTGAATATTTCAGGGAGACAGTGATTAATCATTTTGCACATAACTGATTCTGGTCTGGCTGAGATGTAGTATCAGTAAAATCAGATTTACAGGACACTGTTGCACATCCCTCCTTCCCCAGCCCTGTCCTAAAATGTTGATGGCTGTTGGAGCATCCAGCTTTGCTTTCCTTTTCTCAGAATCTTTTACTACAAATTAGCTCTGCCCTGACTCTCTGCGACATATTCTTCTGAAGTGATTGCACAGGTGATATATAGCCAGAACTATATATGGTGGTGCACACCACCACACCCGGCTAATTTTTGTATTTTTTTTTGTAGAGACAGGGTTTCAACATATTGCCCAGGCTGGTCTTGAACTCCTGGGCTCAAATGATCCACTCTCCTTGGCCTCCCAAAGTGCTGGGATTAGAGGCGAGAGTCACCACGCCCAGCCCATTTTCCTTTTCCTGTCCATAAATTCCTCTCTGACCACATGACAGCACCAGAGTGCCTCTGGTTCGGGGAGTTACCGGATTCATGAATCATTCTTTGCTCAATTAAACTCTCTTAACTTTAATAGGTCTAAAATTTTTCTGGCTGGACATGGTGGCTCATGCCTGTAATCCTAGGCGGGTGGATCACCTGAGGTCAGGAGTTCAAGACCAGCCTGCCCAACATGGTGAAACCCCGTCTCTACTAAAAATGCAAAAATTAGCTGGGCATGGTGGTGGGTGCCTATAATTCCAGCTACTTAGGAAGCTGAGGCAAGAGAATCGCTTGAACCCAGGAGGCAGAGATTGCAGTGAGCCAAGATCGTGCCACTGCACTCCAGCCTGGGTGACAGAGGGAGACTCTGTCTCAAAAAAAAATAAATAAAAATTTTATAGTCAGGGAAAAAGTGTCCCCCAGTAATCTGGAGGTGTTATCGGCTATAACACCCCCAAGACTGCTGGAAAACTGTTTTAAATGCCTAGTGCTGCCATCCATGGGGACCTCTGGGAAGGAGACTTGAAGGAGCCTCGTGCAAGCAGAATATGAGTGAGTAAAACAGCTTGGAATGTCTCGGGGCGAGATTCCTTTGTTTTCCCCACTCCCCCAAGTAACTCCTTCTTAACGTGGGCTTTCCAGGCCAATCTCATAGAATCCAGTGTCCTGTCTTTCCATTTACTATCTAGGAAGGATGACGTTGCTCAAAGTGTCATCTGAAATTTGACCAGAAAAGCGTATTTGTTATCCAAAAAGTACAAATGAAGATGTAATTGTGGAAAGAGTATTAATTCACTGTCTGAGAAGAAAATGTCTTGGTTTCCTGTCAGCACACACACCTGAATGGCAAGAGTGTGCGTTTATACACACCCTTATGTTGCCACATAGCATTGCTGAACCCAGTTTTTCAGGGAAGAAAAAAAAAAAAGGCAACTGGATAGAGCACCCACTGCTGTTTCTACAGGGAGCACATAGGGGCTCTGATGATTGTAAGAGCAAAAGCAGGCAGGCGGAGCCCCCTGTGGTTGGTAGTGCATCTCTCTTTCCACCCACTCCCCTGCCTAGGACTCCTGAAGCTCACCTGACTTCCCCAGTTACTCTGCATTTTGCACGTCTCCTTCTGGATCTCTCTGTGTCTTTATCTCCTAAGCTTTTTCTTCCTCACCCTTGACCAGTGATCTCTGTCCAACTCTGATGGATACATTCTGGTTTATCTGTTTATCTTGGACCATTCTCTACCTCCATTCCATTCTTCTAGAAAAGAGTGAAATTAGTAGTAATTTGGACAGGAAGCAATGCCAAGATTTTTTCCAAGGACATATATGCAGTTGATTCTTGATCAACACAGGTTTGGACTGTGTGGGTCCACTTACATGCGAATTTTTTCCCAACCAGATGTGTATGGAAACTACAGTATTCATGGGATGCAAAACTGGCATATATGGAGGGCCAACTTTTCATATGTGTGGGTTCTTTAGAGCCGACTGCTGCGTATGCACAGATTTTGGCCTATGCATAGTGGTTTTTGAACCAATCCCCCACATATACTGAGAGATGACTGTAGTTAAACTTCTGATGGAGAAGTGGAGGTGTCAAACATTAGTTAATTGCGTTTTCTTTGGGTAGGTAATATAGCATTAAAGCTGATGGTTTTTAAAAATTACATTGCCTTTTATCCTATTCCCATATTGCAGTTATTTTACATTTGCATATTATTTTACAATGTTTGTTCCCAGATCTTCATAGTTGTGCTTGGTTGCAATCATCATATATGTCTAAAAGAAGTAGGACAGTGAGTGAGTGCAGTGATTAAAAACACACCATTTGAAGTCATACCTTGGTTCATATCTGCCTTTTCCATTTCCCAGCTGTGTGACCTTGGCCATATATTTAACCTCTCTTTGCCCTAGTATCTGCTTTATAAAATGAAAATAATATTTTTCTGACAGGTGTTGGGAAGATTAAATGAAACGTGACCAAAATGCCTCAAACAGTGCCTGGCACATTATAACTCTTCAGCTATTGATAACTTTATTTTCATTTTTGTACTCTTCATTCTTTTTTGTTTTGTCACATCACATCCTAAATATTTTCTAGCCTTCCCATTTATTTTTATTTTTTTAAGTGTGTGTTTGTGTGTGTGGGTGGGTGTGTGTGTTTCCTAAGATAGGATCTCACTCTGTTGCCCAGGCAGAGTACAGTAGTACGATCACTTTAGCCTTGGCCTCCCAGGCTCAGGTGATCCTTCCACCTCAGCCTCCCAAGTAGCTGGGACTACAGGCGCACACCACCATGCCTGGCTAAGTCTTATATTTTTTGTAGAGATGGAGTTTTGTCATGTTGCCCAGGCTGGTGTTGAACTCCTAGACTCAAGCCATCCTCCCACCTCAGCCTCCTAAAGTGCTGGGATTACAGGTCTCAGCTGCTGCGGCTGGCAGTTCCCATTTATTTTAATAATTACATAATTTATGTGTTAATACAGCACAATTCATTAAACTTTTTTTTGTTAGACACAATTTTAAGCTGTTTCTGTTTGCCATTGTGGATAATATTGTGAAATGTGAGCAGATAGTTTCTGCTGAGAGAGTTTCTATGTGTTGGATAATTGGGTTATGAATCCCTCTATGTGTTATAACTACATAAAATACTGTCAGTGGTGAAGGGACTTCCCAGCATATGCCTCCAATATTTCCAGCTTTGATTTTTTGTTTGTCTAAATTGTTACGTAGTTAACTATAAAATGGCATCTCCGTAGATCACTGAGAGGATTGAAGATGCTTCTGTGTAAGTACAGGTTACAGAGAACTCATCCAGTACCATATAACTAATAAGTTCTAGGTTTAAATACAGGACTGTTTACTCTGTTTTCTTCTCTGAATTGTCTGTTATAGACTATACTCGAGTAATGTGTTCCTTGTGAATTTAAATAAGGTCTATATTTCAGATTTAAATATATTGTCACTGTGATACAAGTATTTCTCAGGCACTTTATTTTACTTTTGTATTGTTTTTCATTATATACAAGGAATTTGTGCCTAAGTTGGTCAGTCTTTTGTTGTTGTTGTTGTTGTTCTTGTTTCCAAATGAGAGGTTCATTGTTTTTCCATGGATCTGGTAAAATAGTTAATGCATGTCAGCTGATCTTTTATTAATTATGTTTAGTTCTTTAACCTATGTAGAATTTATTCTTCTTTAGCCTAAAGTGGGGATCTGTCCTAGTTTTCCTGTTCATATCCACTTATCCTACTACTGTTTGTCAGATAGTTTCTACTCATTTTGAGATACTCAATTTCATTTTTATGTCTTATAGCTAAACTGAGTATAGCCTCTTTCTTGTTTTATTGGTTTATACTTCTATTTTGTGCAAGTTCTGTGGTAAAGTCATGCATGGTGTTTTTGTTATTTGCTTGTTTTGTTTTTGTTTTGTCAGTACTCTCCAGTCAAAGACCTAGCTGTGTTCAACAGGAACATATCTGGTTGAACAAGTTGGGTGTATTGCTGCTTGTAGTGAAGGAGAACACATACCAGTGGGAATCATGGGGCCTTTCAGTAAGAGGGTGTCAGAAAGGACTTAGTTTAGGATTTGGACTTACATAAGGTAACTTGAAGGATGGTTCAAGGAAGTGGGCTTTGCTTTGTGTTCAATGCTGTAAGGAGGGGTGAGTCAGTCAATGAGCATCTTAATAAATCTTATCTCTAAGACATGGGGAAAATGAATCAAAGTTAAAGCTATGTATGCATGATAGCCAGTATAGGGAATATTTGGTCATTTTTGTGATTCGGACAATCTTTCTGTTTTCATCCATCATCAGACATACTCATAGTCATAGGGTGACCTTGTCTGGTATTGGTGTTCTTTGAAATTGTTCATGTTTTGTAACGAGGCCTGGTTATGAGTGCAAGCCAGCCTCCCAGCAACATCAATGCCTTGCTAATAGTACAAGGCTAGCTTTCAGATGTCAGGGGCTGCTTTTCTCATTCTCACGTTGTTTGTGTGGTTATCTGCTATTGTGTGGC